TATCTCACAAATAATGTAATAGCTTAGCTAGGAAAAATAACAACATTTATAGATAGATGAAAGCGAAATCTGACCTGCCATATACGGATAGATGGGCTTTGAGGTTTCTTCTCTATAGTCTCAAGAAAGTATGCTATTGTATTCCGAGGCTACAACCATTTCCCCAAGGATAACAGAGTCAGGTGCACGAGTGGAAGTAGAGTGGTTTTTCAGGAATAAGTGATAATTGTGGGTTATAAACTTATTTGTGGTACAAAATATGAACAATTGTTGATAAATATATTGAAATATGGCTTAATTCTATATAAATTATATTTCGTAGGATAACATTAATGAACATGGTGAAATTTAGAAAAAATAAGTGAAAAATAACTAAAATGGAAGAAAAGTAAAGTTCAAGGAGCAAATTTCAAATAGCCGAAAGATGACTCGGAAGAAGAAACAAAGATGTGAAAGAATGGAAGACCAATTTAGCGATGACATAAAGTATTGGAAGAAGAAAAGTGATAAAAGAGGTCAAGAAACGAGAAAATGGGGTTCGAGGATCAAAATGCAAAGAATGAAAATTTACTTGAATTATGCTATAGCATAGTTCTTTTAGCCATGCGATCGCATGGTGTAGTGCATGGATTTTCGGAGCTGAACGTGGTTGAACTATGTAATAGCATTGAAATGTACTATGCTATAGCATAGTATATTTTCGGAAAAAAAAAATTATGATTTCTTTATATGATTCCAACTCTTATGGAAATAAATATGGGGATGTCTTTTAAAGACTTAGGGCAGTCTAGAAGTAGTTACCACGCATTACAACACATTCTAAGAGATTTTGGAGCATAGAAGGAGGCAAGAATCATGAAAATTCAATTCAAGGTTTATTGGGGCGATGTCAATTTTTCAATATTTCTTTTGCTTTCTTCTTCATAACAAGATATGCTATATTTATTTGTACTAGGAGAATGATGGATCATGTAATATGAATTTTTTTTTTCGTTTTATATACTTAACATTGAAATACGTTTTTGGATATTTATAATTTATATGATTTTCTTTTCTCCACAATTATTGTGCATGGTAGTTGTGTGAATTTGGTGTCTTATTTTTTGCATTCGAAAGTGGGGAAATAAATTCAACATATATAAATTGTCATAGGGTCCAATAGGAGATAGAAATATACCGATATACTCTATGTGAATCTTTAAGTGTTCATAAACATTCATACACTTTTATATGTTCGCATCTGTTATAGAAATATAGTTGAATCATATATAAAAGTTCGTTTAACCTTACTCAAAAGAGATTGTTAAATAAAATAGGAATATTAATTCACCAAAATTCAGTCGTGTTGTTAACGTGTAAAACTAAGGTTAAAAAGGATTATTGCATGGAAATTCAGGATCCCGGTACGTTTGTCCTCTATTAAAAACATCAATTTGCATTTAATTTAGTTAATTAACTCATAATGGCATAAGTAAATTATTTTAGTTATAATTTTATTAAAAGCAAACGCACCATGTTATTCGTATTTCGATTAAGGTCGCGATAATTAAAATCGACCTAAATCAATCTTTGTGGGACAAACTTGGACTCAAAATCCACTTTATTGCTTGGTAACAAACCGTACACTTGCGGTGATTTTAATTCGAAAAATATTTTTGTGAACAAATTTTTGGCGCCGTTAACAGGGATTGAGTTTTAGTTTGATTTGATTTACTTTTGAACTAATTCAGACTTCTACCTGTATTCTTGCATTGTTATTTTCGTTCTATTTTAGTGTTTTTTTTTCTCTTTTTTACAAGATATATAAAAAAACAAAAATAGCAAGATAAAATATGGCTGTGGTTGATTTCAACAAGATGCTCGTATATGACTTCATCATAAAGCAACAATAATTGGTAGCTCAAGAAATTGATGAGGGAGATATGCTTGTTGGAGAGTTCATTATAGGACAGCGACTACAAGATATAAAAGCAGATTGTGAACTTGATGAAATTTTCCTGGGTGACTTACCTGTAGCGTTATTTCTCTCACCACAATTTGATGTGGGTGATTTGCCTTTGAAATTATTTCTTCCACCAGTTATTAATGGACATCAATTAAAGAAATCAAGTCAATTGGACTTCTTACAAATACAACAAAGGGAGAAAACTCTCAATGAAGATGTCATTGTTTCTTTGCCAAAAGTTTGGAATACAAATGTTGAAATCAAGAAAGTTTCAATTAAAGAAAAAGAGCATGAAGACAATGTTTTGTATAAGTTTCTAATCCTTACTACTTTATTTTGATTATTTTTGCTCTTGCATTGAAGACAATATTTTGTATAAGTTTGGGGGATGGCAGCATTTTCGTGACAATTTTGACTGTTTATCAATATTTGTGAATAATTTACTACTTTTATGCGATTGTTCGTTAAAAAAAATAGTAGTTTTTATTTATATTCTAGTATTTGCTTATTGCTTTGTGTGCTTGTGAGAGTTTTTTGACCTTGCCGCACTAATGTTGAATATTGGAATAAGTATGGACTATAAATAGTGGAAATATTGCATAATTAGATTAGTCAATACTTGTTTATGTGAAACTTGACGGTCTTTATGCATGACACTCATGTTTTACACATTAAGTTGGTGATTTGGCTCATTACTTAGAGAAGAGTTGAACATAGTAAGTTAAACCCGAATCACCTCTATTGTATTAATATATAATCCATTTATAGAGTAGTTTGGAGGTGGTTGAGTTGTTACGAGGAAACAATGAGATGAGTAGAGGTTCCCTGCATGAAAACTTTCTTGTGTGGATTGTCTAAAACCAATAAGATGAACACGAGGTGAAAATATTAAGTTAGGGGTTGGTTTTAGAAGTTGAATATCTAAAAGAAAGGGACATGGCACTATTCTATGTGTAAATAAAATCATCTTTTCAAGCATATATAACTCGAGTGGATAAGTATGTAAATGTTTAAAACGTAATGCCTTATGATCATTTGACTTGAGAATCATCGGCCTAAAAGTCTCTACATGGGTTATATAGAAAGCAAATGAGAAGATGTTTGAAAAAAATTGAAAAACAATAATAGTCGGAAAAAAAACACAATTAGATTTATTAAGCCCTAAAATATTTGGTTGATAGAACTATACTTTTGATAGAGGCTAGCAGCTTAGTTTAGTCTTAACGGTTGAGGCAGTAAAAAATATAAAAGAATATCGACTTGTTGAAGTGTGAACTTGTGATGCAAGATCCATCCAAACTAAGAGAGTGTAAGGAGTAGAATTAAATAAGTTCACATTATGATCCACCATGAGAAATTGAGTAAAAAGAATAAGTTTGGGAGAATGTGTATCTCTCGTGAGAAGAAATGAAATATTTAACTATTACAAGTCAAGAGTTGAGTCATTCATGAGTTTGATATATTTACATGAGTTTACACACACTTGTAAGGTTGGACAAAACTCGTGAACCGAATTGGATCGAACCAAATCCGAACCGAATTGAATCGAACCGAGCGGTTCTTTTTAAGTTAAATACCCGAACAAGTATCTGAATCGAGAATCGACGGGTTTGGTTCAGTTCTAGACCAAGAATCGAATAAGAACCGAATCTCCCTAATTTTTTATCTTAAATAAGTTAAATTATTTTATTTTTTAAAATAAATTACTAACTAATTAATTTAGTTCAAACCCAAAATATGATTTTACTATTTCTAATTTTCTGCCAAGCCCAACTTAATCAAATTAACCTATATATTACCCAAATCTCTTATTTTACTGTTCTATTATTGTGAACTGATCATCTTCCTCTTCTTGTGCTTTTAACAGTCAAATCTATTAAAAACTCAATAAAGAGATGTGCAAAAGATATCACGAGATTGAACTACATTATTTTGTAAAAGTTAAGATTGAATATGTCATAGTCGAATTAATGTAGCGTTGTAATATAAAAAAATTAATTATTGTACGGAATCCCGAAACCGAATAGAACTGAACTAAACCGAACCGAACCAAATGAAACCGAACCCAAACAATTCCATAATTAAATTTAGACCCGACAGTTCCATTTACTAAATACCAAAAAATTTCGAGTTTGATTTGGTTCTCTTTAAAATCGAATCGGACCATGTTCATCCCTACACACTTGCGTCAAGTAATACATATAATAGGTGGAGATTGATTCAGTTTTGCACTGTTAAAGATGTTCATTATGTGATTACTAGATTCCAAACCTGAGACGCAGCTGGTTGTCAAATCATATTTTGTTTGGAATTAAGCTACAGTTTATTTGAGAATAAAAAATTGTTCAAGTTTGGGGGATAACACAGCAAGAATGGCTGATTCTCAATTCTTTAGAATCGGGATTTTTTATTAAGCATTCCCTGCGTACAACTGCAATCAATTATAGTGAAAAGTTTTGCATAATTTCTAGAACAATAATAAGAGTGTGTTTGGTAGGGATTTTTGAGTAAAAAATTGATTTTTGAATAGTGATATGATGGGAAATGTGTGGTTGAAAAAGAAGAAAAAAGTATTGATGTGATGGAAAATATTATTTTATCGAAGAATGTGTGGTTGAAAATGAGAATTGATTTACTGTAGAAAATGAGAATCTGTACTGAACAGGCTCTAGGGAACTTTCATATTTCTGGTGGTGGACAAAATGACGACGATTGTAGATAAAAACTAAAATTGTTATGAAGCATTAAGGTTTATGGATTCTTAAGTTTGCATCTTCTTCCCAATTTCCTCGAATTAAGGAGGCAACAATCTTTTCCAGACATCTCCCCCAATATATGATTTTTCCGAGTCCAATAAGATTCTGATTATATTATAACAATAAAGTTTGAAACTATGCACAGTTTTGGACGTATAAACCAGCAGCAGCTACCCATAAAAAAAAAAAATCCTAGAAGAAAACTTGAAAAAGTTTATGACGATATAACAAAAGTTAATGACAAAGCTTTCTGATCTAGTGACACTAGTAACCAAGAAAATTACTTAGACACGAGATCTTCAAGCTGTTTTAGGCTTCAGTTTAATGCGCTTTGCTCTTGAATATAGAAAAACTCCCGCGAGGGCTATACCAGTACCTGCACCAAAGAACAAAATAAAGACAACGGTCTAGATTGATCTGATTTCATTTCATCAATTATGTTCACTGAAATTTAATGTTTAAGAAGCTATACCCAGTGTGTTAATAAGTGAAACTGGTGTGCGGAAGAAGAGAACAGAGCTCACAATCACAACTACTCGTTTCACACAGTTGCCCACAGAATGAGTAACAGGAGATACGCGCTGCAATATCATGTAAGCAATCTGCAAAACAAAATTTATTAACAATTGCTTTATGAAACCGAGGCATATATTTGTGACACTTTTTCTATCAACTTTTATCAAATTAGGCACTAAATCAAGAATTCTGGGAATGTCAAAAAAAAAAAAAAAAATTAACATTGATAATCAAGATCATTGTTTATTGTGTTGAGCTACATTGCTGGGGAATTGATTAAAAGCTAAAGACGAAGTAAAAGTGCTATAATAACATATTAAGCTTCAAATCCCATGATATAATTCTGCAAAACGAAAAAAAGAAGCTTTTTGGAAGATTCCTGAAATATTTCCCAACACAGACTGAAAAAAAAAAGATGTTAAAATCAAGTCTCAAAGCCACCCATTTATGAAAATTGTGGAAGTGTTATGTCTTTAATAGAAAAATGGATTTGGATTCCAAGTGAAGGGGTGTGTTCAACTGATATGTTGGACCGCCTCATTGAGGCAAAGATCTTGAGTTCAAATCTAGTTGAAAATTTTAATATGGCTTGCACGATAATGGACATTTTGAACGATAATGGTTTGTTTGGTGAAGTGTACTCTTTAAGTATAGTACGGTATGATCAAAGAAGAAAAAATAAATTCTGCAATGCATACCTGCTGATATGCATGGAAGCAGAGAGCAGCATGAAGAGACCTAATGTAAATTTCTCTGACATTCAATCCCTGGCAAGAAACAACAAAATTTCTGCCCCCATTATTACTCTTCCACCAAATAAGTTATAAGCAGATTTTAAACTAAATAAATTGATCAAAGGTGAGGGTAGTTAGAAAATAAGAGCTTGTTTAGGAGAGATTTTTAAAAGTGAAAAATGATTTTTTATAGAATGTGTGATTAAAAAGTAGGAAAAAGTTATGGTCTCACAGAATGTGGAGTTCAAGTGATTTTGGGGAAAAATGATTTTCAAAAAATTTCTCCCAAACAAGCTCTAAGTAAACCGTTTTAAATTCAAAGGACAAAAAAATGTAACGTATCCAAGTATCATTTCTGCTCTTGAAGTTTACTTACAGTACTCTGAAGGAATGAAGGGGTAAATTTGACTCCTTCAATAAAAATAGCAGCAGGAGCAAGCAGGATGAAAGACATAATTGTAATTAACGAGAAAAGCGTAATATTGTCCAAAGAGTCCTGCGTGAAAACAAACTGAAACTGATGCACCAATTCTGAAAAATAAAAGCTATTAGGAAAATAAGCTCCTACTTTTCGTTCTTTCTTTCTTTTTTCAGTTCTTTCGAAACAAACATCACAAAAGAACCACATTTTGTTTTTTTGCCCCCAAATTCTTTTAATAGGATTAAAATCAAAGAATCGGAAAAGATTATAAGAAATTGCTTGCAATTCTGATTAACAAATCACTTTGGCTGTAAAGTATACCTCTTTGTTAGCCATAAACTTCTTGCTAAGGACATTACGAGATTGATTTGTCAGATTTGAGGCCATTGCACTCCAAAAGCCAGCCCTTGAGCACAGTGAGCATGGGTTGCATTTCGTAAAAGTTAATACTTACTTTCTAGAGAATTTTTTGTTAATAAAGAAATGGTATCTTTGAAAACTCATGTTTGGTAAAATAAGTCAAAAGATTAGATAAAAAGGGCAGCATATTCTTGAAGCTTCTTACCAGTTGAAAGAGGCCTCAGTCATTGATGCTAAAACCACTCCGCCAACAATTGGTAGAAGGGAAGAAACAACCCATATTGTAGGAAACTGACCAAAGAGAAGACACCAGAACGTCATTAATTTTTCAGAAATAGACAATCACATTTATAAGTTATGGAAGGGAAAAAAAAAAAAGAGCCATATAAATTAATTTACTGGTTAAATAACTTGTTACGAGGAGAAAAACTCATGCTGTTGAAACAAAATTAGAATAGTTTCTTCGATATAGCAAAATATATATGTCAATAGTCACAGCTATAATGTCATCAATTTTAAGAAAGTAAAGAAACAGATTATGGCTGTTTTGCTGGGTGATTATTTTCCATGTCATTGTTTATGAACATTTAGAAACACTATCAAGAAATTTGGTAAGCTTATAATAAAATCATATGGATCTTGCACCTCTCCAATAAACATAGCTGAGAGGACAACCGAGAAGAACGGCTCTGTAGCTTTGATTGTGTGAGTGAACGAAACGGAAACTTTTCCAAGACTCATATTGGTGAAAAGGTGGCCTAAAGTGTGCATCACTGCCAAAGGAAGAATTGTAGCAAGCTGTCAATCAACGAATTCAAGATAAGTACTCGTATGAAAAATTACTTTTCTGGAAAGTTAATTAAGACTTACTTTCTGGAAAAGTAAGTTTGTTAGTAAAAAGTAACTTTGAAAATCATGTTCGGTAAAATAAGTCACTGCTCATAGCATTCCAGCATGGTATTGAGTACCTGGCGACTACTGATTTTTGGCCGTTTGTAAAGATTGAATATCCACATGAAAATAACGAGGAGAGTCCCAACAGCCAATTGAACTAAAGTGATTGTCAATGGACGCGGAAAAACCTCAAGAACCTGTTCAAATTAGCACCATCCATCCCATGTCAATAGTCGAGAGTTGAGATATTCAGTAAGCTTGTAAGCATGGAATTCAACACCTTTCGCATTTGAAATTTAAGAAAATCAATTCTGATTTTGATTCCAACATCGAATTCTATGGTGCCAGAATTTTCAGGCTTTCATAGTGTTGAAGATCAAATTTCAATAAATATATATGGCATCTCTAACAGCTAAAGTTGTCACCTACTACGTCTAACTTATATCAAAGCCAGACAAAATATATGGATTCAATTCTTCCCATCACTCATTTATAGAAACGTTGTACACGTGACCACTTTCATAAAAAAATGAATCCCAGCTGAACAATGAGTAGTTCAGATCGAATTTAAATAAATATGGCATCTCCAACGGCTTAAGCTTTGCAAGTCAAAGAGGGAAGAAGAAGCACAAGCAAGAGAGGTGCGAGCTATGCAACTTGACAATTTATACCAAGCTAGGGTTAACATAGTATCAAAGCCGAATAAAATATCTGGTTTCAAGTCTCCCCGTCTCTCGTTCATAAAAACATTGTACACGCGACACAAATTTAAAGAAAAAATAATTTGGGCAGCACAATTAAAAGTGATTATATTAAAGTTATATAAAATAAATAAATGCGGCATCCTTGATACTAATTCACAGCCTAAAAGAAAAAACAAAATATTTTCTAAACATCTCACAAGAACAAATATGCATGCATAATCAGATATATAGAAAGCATGAACAGATACACAAATATTCCAGCAGATAAATATGTGCAACGATTAAGCCCATGTTTGTCATCCTTTAAAACTTTCAATTGTTTCTACATTACCATTCTCCACCATACATTCTCAAAATAAAATATTCTACGCACAAACCAATAAAGTTTCTTACTTTTTTAACCACGCATTCTCCATTTGCTATTCTATAATACATTACAAGAAATTAATCGCTCTCAAACAGTGCTTAAGACTTCCCTCAGAAGCCTTTTTTGCTGCATCATTAAGCCCCTATTTGAAAACCATTATTTGGAAAAATAATAATGTTTCGAATAGAGGTGGGGAAAAATTTCAAATAATCGTGGTCAAACAGGCGCTAAGCAACTATTCGAACCCAAGACCTTTCTTTACAGGAAATTAAGTTTAATTAAATCCATACTGTTGCGGGGCCCCAAAAGCCAAAGGGCTTGTAGGGAAAAAGTCTGTTATCTTTTACAGAAAAAGAAATAACAACCTGTTTGTCGTAGATATTGAAAAAGATATTAAACAAGTACCAAAGCCCGAAAAGCGTTCCCAGCACCAAAGTATCCCTAGTGCTACTGGATTTCGGGCTCTCACTGGCATCCGGGCTCTCCGGAACTGAGATGGCCCGAACCGAAACTTGTTTTGAGGGTCTACCAGGACCCAGAACCCACCCACTTGGCCTTGCAGAACAATTAACCGGATTCAAGGAGGAGGAGTCATTAATAAAAGAGAGTTTTTTTGGTGGGGAAAATTTGAATCTATAGAGAGAATAAGATTGGAACTTTTGGTGTTTTGTGGAGACAGAAATGAAAGGTGAATATGAAATTACTGCGCTCTGCATTTTGCAGATAATAGAGATCAAGAAAATGAAGAGATAAACAGATTATGTATGTATATCTGGGGGTTTTGGGAGGTGTTGGGACAGTGGCGCCGCCTTGGAGGTGGTGGCGGGGGTGTTTGAAGTGTATATCAGCAAACAGTTTTCCTACAGCAATCAGAGATGCAGAGGAGGGATATACTGGCAAACTTGGATTCTCAAGGAATCTCAAGGAACGAATGTTTGTGAATCTAGTCAACTATACACATGTATATAATGTATGTATATAGGGGTAGGGGTAGGGGTGGGTCTGAACGTGTGGATTGGTGCATTCTTACGTTTGCTGGGTAGTGGAAGTTGTACTTGACTGTACAGTATGTCTAGGTACATGAAGGACTAAAAGTTGGAGATATAAAAATGAAAAAGAATCTTACATCTAAAAATAGTATCAATTACACCCCTATGGTTTCTAATTTGTCACTATTTTTCGTCTCTTCCTCCATTATCGATTCCGTGCTCCCTCGTCTAACTCTTCTCTATTTAGACTATAATTTTTACAATTAAAAACGGAGCGAACCCTTTTTTTAGAAGCACAAAGAGTGAGGTATACTTTTGTTTCAGGAAATTAGAAAAAGAAAACGATGGATTTTGTGAATTTCAAAGATTGTATAATATATAAACATCCGACTCTATTATCAAGTAAATTGCCTTTATTTAAAAATAAATGCTCAATGCATTGGATTTTACATCTATAAAGAAGGTATTCGATCAATTTTGTAATTGGACTATTCTCAAAAGAGACCCTTTAAACAAAAATCGTCAAAAGAATCCAAAATTTCTCGACCAAGTAATTTCGATACGTAAATAAAATTGAAAAGAAATATCAAAGGGTATATGTTTGAAGAAGGGTTAACTTAAAAAATGTGCACTTTGGTCACACATTCACCAACCTTAGTCAAAGGAATTAATTGTCTCATTATAGAAATTTTTATGGTCCCGTTATAGCAATGTATTTGGTCCCATTATTTACGAACTTCGCATAATTTAGTCAAATTTGGACAAACATCGATTGGACACAAAGGAAGGAGATTTCTTTCAAACGTCCTCGTTTGAATTGAAATTTTTATCTTAATTTAGTAATCTGAGTATATAATTTAGTAAAAATCATTCATTCGCTGGTCAACTAAACGCTATTGGAATAATTTTAAAAATTTTAATACAACGAGAATTTCAAAAACTTGATAAATAGTAAATGTGTGTTTGGTTTGCCGTTTTCAATTTTGTAAAACGCTGAAAATGTGTTTTATTTGATATTTTTGAAAACAGTGATATCCTCATAACATAAAACTCAAAAAGCGTTTTAGACATTTTGAGAGTTGTCGGTGAAAATTCTAAAAGAATAATTATTCACAAAAATCATACAAATGCTGCGTTGGCAGCACTTGTCTGGTGTATTTTCTGTCATTTTTGAGTAAAAAATCAATGAAAAATTGTCGAGTGTTCTCACGTAAAAATTCTGTCAAATATTTTCTACACTTATAGCATAATCGATTTTGAAAACACTCAAACTTGGAAAATAAGCGTTTCAAAAAAAAATTTAAAATTTAAAATTTTAAGAAATTAAAAAGATCAAATTTCAACAAATTAAATTTTAAATTTTTTTAAAAAATAATATTCTAAAAAATTACATTATAAAAATTAAATTAATAAATTCTAAAAAAAATAAAATTTTAAAAAAATAGATTCTAAAATTCTAAAAAACTAAAATTGTAAAAAATATAAAATAAAAATTCTGAAAAAAAAATTTAAAAACATTTAAAAAATAAATATATTTCAAGCTTTTAATGATTATTTATATAAAAATTCTAAAAAATATTTAAATGAACAAAAATAAAAAAATTTCCAGTCGATGACATTAATTTTATTTTACTTTTGTAGTAAGAAAAATATTATAAGATTTATTAATTTTAAAATGTATATATATTACTTAATAATATTTTGATATAACATTATTATATATTTACTGAATAATCAAATTTCATCAAATAAAATGTACATAACAATTTCTTTAATTCCAAATTAAACGTCTAGTTTTTCATTTAAAGAAATAATTTTTCAAAATAACAAACCAAACGCGATTTTAATAATTTTAAAACAAACATTCAAAAGAAAAAACTGAAAATAAACTTAAAACTCAAAAGTGAAACACAAATCAAACGAGCATTAATATATTAATTGTGGATTCTTATAGAGATTTAAAATCTAATAAGTTTTAAACAAGGCAATAGATAAAATTTTCTTTTTTTGTTTTACTTCTTAAAGATGGAGGATGCAAGCATATTATTCGGAATGCAAGATGTATGGTAGGTAGGAGGCTTTTTTTAAGCCCATCATGAAATCTCCGAGCTCAATCCTGAACAGATGATGAAAACTACTAAGCTGGAGTATGGTACAAGGAAGAGGAAATTTCTAGTAGAACGGTAAAATGCATAAATATCATAAAGAACTATTGCAGAAAAGGGAAAAATGGAGAAAAATGGAGAAGGGAAATATTATTGATCTGAACCAACCAAAAAAAAACAATCGGCAATGTTGAATCATATAAATAGATGAAATACAGAAAATATCTTTCTAGCTTTGCCGCCTAAATGCCAACTAATTGACAGCTGTGATTAACTAATTTTGGCACCCATAATTAGTTGAAGCTGAGTGGAGATACTGGAGCTGATGTGCTGGCAAGTGAGCTGATGTTGGAGCAGAGTGCTGGAGCTGAGTCTAATACGCCCCCCTCAAGATGGATCATGTAAGTTGATGATAGCCATCTTGGAAAGTAAGTAAAAGAAAGACGAAGCTGGCAATGCTTTGGTGAACAAATCCGCCAATTGATGTTGAGATCGTACAGGCAGCAGTTTGATTGAACCATCAGCTACCTTATCACGAACAAAATGGCAATCTATTTCGATATGTTTAGTTCGTTCATGAAAAATGGGGTTGCTGGCGATATGGAGTGCAGCATGATTGTCACAAAAAATTACAGTGGGAGCTGACGAGATAGCCTGCAAATCAAGTAATAACTGATGTATCCAAGTTAATTCACTGGCAGCTACTGCTAAGGCAAGATATTCTGCCTCGGCAGAGGACCTGGAGACGGTCTGTTGCTTCTTGGCTTTCCAGGAAATGAGAGAATCACCAAGGAAAACACATAAACCGATAATAGACTTCCTGGAATCAGGACAAGAGCCCCAATCTGCATCAGCAAATGCACGTAGCTACATAGAAGAAGTGGCTGAGAAAAATAACCCTTGACCAGGAGCTAACTTGAGATAACGTAGGAGATGATGAGCTGCATCAAGATGTGTCTGTCTAGGCTTGGACACAAACTGACTGAGTTTATGGACTGCAAAGGTAACGTCTGGCCGAGAGATAGTTAAGTAACGCAAACGGCCAATCAATCGGCGATAAGAGGAGGCATCAACATCAGATAATAAATCCCCATCTTCAGAACTTAATCGAATCTTAGGATCCATAGGCAATTTGGCTGGCTTGCATGCCAGAAGACCAGTGTCTTCCACTAACTGTAAAGTGTAATTCCTCTGTGATAAACATATGCCTTTGTATGATCTGGCTATTTCAAGGCCAAGAAAATACTTCAACTTCCCCAAATCTTTGAGTTTAAACTGACTATGTAAGAATATCTTCAATGAGGCAATGGCATTCTGATCAGATCCTGTAATGATAATGTCATCAACATAAACGAGTAAAGCAACAAAAGAAGATCCTGAACCCTTAGTAAACAACGAATAATCAGCTTTGGATTGATGGAATCCATGAGCGATAAGAGTATGAGAAAACTTAGAAAACCACTGTCGAGAAGCTTGACGAAGTCCATAAATCGATTTGTGAAGTTTACAGACAAGTTTAGTTCCTGCGACTACATTAACAGGGATAGGAGAAAAACCCAAAGGTAAATCCATGTAAATTTCCTCAAAAAGATCCTCGTTTAAAAAGGCATTATTCACATCTAATTGGACAAGGGACCAGTTATTGATAGCTGCAATTGCAAGTAGCGTTTTGACAGTAACTAACTTGGCAACTGGAGAAAAGGTGTCAAGAAAATCCAACCCTTCTTGCTGAGTATACCCTTTAGCAACCAAACGCGCTTTATACCTGTCCACATGTCCATCAGGCCCGTATTTAATTTTGTAAACCCATCGACAGCCAATTGAGTGTTTCCCTTGAGGCAAGTTGACCACAGTCCATGTTTTATTAGACTCCATGGCTGATAGCTCATCTGCCATAGCCTTCCTCCAGTGATCAGATATGACAGCCTGGTGATAAAAATGTGGTTCTATATGTGAGGAAACATTGAGAAGAAAGGTTTTATGTGAGGGAAAAAATGAACCGTATGAAAGGTATTTAGTCAAGGAATAACTGGAATTGATTTCACGTGGCACCTGGTTAACAAGGAGATTACAGTGAAACTCCTGAAGGTAGGAGGGAGTCTTACTCACTCTAGTCGATCTCCTAGTAACAGGATGAGATTGTTGAATGTGACCAAGGCTTTGAGGACTTGGAATATAATCGGAGGAATGCTGAATTGAGGATGGCTCAATAAAAGACAGCTCATTGTTATCAGTGGGAGTTTCAGTGTTGGTGGAAGGAGATATAGGTGAATTGGAAAAATGATCAAAGTGATCAGAAGTAACATTTGGTAACACAATATCATGGGAAGGATCTGTTACCTCTGAAATGGAAGTAATAGACTGAAAAGGGAAATGTGTTTCATGAAAAACAACGTCTCTAGAGATGAGAAAAGACTTTGAAGATATATCATAGAGTTTATATCCTTTGACACCTGGGGGATAACCAAGAAAAACACATGCTCGAGCTCTAGGTGAGAATTTGTTCCTCTGTGAAATCAGAGTTGATGCAAAACAAAGACTCCCAAAAACACGAAGAAAATTGTAATCAAAGACCTCTTTATACAGCAAGGAAAAAGGGGTCATATTTTTGAGAATGGGAGAAGGAGTCCTATTGATTAAAAAAGTGGCTGTGAGGACACAGTCACCCCAGAATTGAATAGGGACTCTTGACTGAAAATATAGTACACGAGCCACATTGAGCAAGTGTTGGTGCTTCCTTTCAACCACAGAATTCTGCTCAGGCCGCTCTACACAAGAAAACTGATGCATAATCCCTTTTGATTCAAACAACTCAGTAAACTTCAGTTCCTGAGCATTATCAGATCTGAAGCACTTAATGACTTTGTGAAACTGATTTTCGATGAGGGCCAAAAACTTAGGTATAATAAACCCCACATCTGATTTATGTTTCATCAAATAAACCCACGTAAATCTAGTACAATCATCCACTAATGTAAGGAAAAACTAATGGCCAGTATAAGTAGGAACATTGTATGGACCCCAGACATCACAGTGCACCAAATCAAAAGCATTATTTGATAGGTGATTATTGGATACAAACGAAAGCCTCCTTTGTTTTGCCAAAGGACAAACAAAACAAGGAGCTTGAAAATCATGTTATGACAACTACCTTCAATATGTAACAAGTTCTTCAACAAAACTAACTTCTGATATGACAAATGCCCAAGTCTGTCATGCCATATCTGACTAGTTACATTATTGGATACAGAGAAAGAAGGTTTACAAATATCACTATGAACTAATGAACAAACATCATTATGAACTGATGAACTGGAGTCTATGATATAGAGATCTGCCTTTCTCCTACCCTTGCCAATCATCCTCAATGTGTTCAAGTCCTGAATCATACAAGAATTAATGAGAAACTTGACACATAATGAAGTATTCCTTGTTAAGGCACTCACTAATAACAGGTTGAATCTGAACTGAGGGACATATAAGACATCATCAAGTATCAAATCAGATGTGATTTTGACATTACCAATTGATCTCACGGGAATTTGCACATGATTTGGCAATGTGACATATGCATTTTTAATTGGCCTCATAGTATAAAAAGCTGAATGATCAGAACATATATGACGGTAGCCCCTGAATCTATCACCCAATGCTTAGATGAATTAAAAGCTGGATTAATAGATATGGAGAAGCAGGTACCTGATTCCTTACCTGAACTTGCCCCTATTTCTGAATCCAACTTAGCAGATTTGAGATGAGTATTCAGCATGCTCATCAGATGTTGATACTGATTAGGATTAAGGGTTTGCATGAAATTTCCAACACTTACATCATTAAGGGTTTCAGATCGACAGCAACAACATGTTCAGAAACTTGATTAGCCATGGCTTGATTGTTTGGATTAGGCATCACATTCTGTCCATATTTTGGTCTAGATTTATACCCCGGTGGATAGCCATGCAGCTTATAACATCTATCAACAGCATGACCAATGCCTCCACAGTAAGTACATATTAGCCTCTCCTTCCTTTGAAATTTATTATAATGTTGCTGTCCTACAGTCTTTCTAGTATCTCCTTGATGCAACTTGTTTGAACTATTCTGAGCATAAAAGGCCATTGTGCTAGCAGGCGTCTCATTAGCCATATTGATTTTTCTTTGATTCTCTTCCTGAGCCACCAATGCAAAAACCTTGTTGATAGAAGGAATAAGATCCATCAATAAAATTTGTCCCCTAGTCTGTCCAAACGACTCATGTAACCCCATTAAAAAGGACATCACATACTCCATATGATGATGATCAATTAACTTTTTATTTCCTCCACAAATACATTTGCTGCAAGAGCAAGTAGGTTTGTAATTGTTGAGTTCCTCCCAAATTGTCTTCAATATGGTAAAATAAATGCTGACAGAAGAATCCCCTTGCATGAGGTTCATCAATTCTCGTCTCAGCTGAAAAATACGAGGAGCATTCCTTTGCTGATATCGCTCTCTCAAATCAGTCCATATTTCATAGGCTGACTCTGAATATAATACACTGGCAGATATCTCTTTAGACACAGAGTTTAGGATCCATAAGGTAACAATATTATTGTTACGAATCCATGAATTAATTTGATCCTGATTGTCTTCAGGTCGAGATATGGTTCCATCAATAAACCCCAATTTGTTCTTCACTGACAAAGCAATTAGCATAGATCGACTCCAGGAAGTATAGTTATCTCCAGTTAATGGCTGCGAAACCAGAATCAAACCTGGATTATCGGAATGGTGCAAAAAATATGGGTTAGACGTATCATCAGCATTTGCGGATGATACAGATTTATTTGGCGCCTCATTCTCCATCGTTAATTTCTGGAAGAGTTGATCAGAAGAGATCAATCAAATTTATCAAACAATTATATTCTCTGATACCATATTGCAGAAAAGGGAAAAATGGAGAAAAATGGAGAAGGGAAATATTATTGATCTGAACCAACCAAAAAAAACAATCGGCAATGTTGAATCATATAAATAGATGAAATACAGAAAATATCTTTCTAGCTTTGCCGCCTAAATATCAACTAATTGACAGCTGTGATTAACTAATTTTGGCGCCCATAATTAGTTGAAGCTGAGTGGAGATATTGGAGCTGATGTGCTGGCAAGTGAACTGATGTTGGAGCAGAGTACTGGAGCTAAGTCTAATAAGAACAGAAACACTGTTGAGCTATCTTACATATGCCCGAATAAAAGTCCTACCTGAACCAAAATGAGCAGTTCAATAAGTTTCTCCTTAAGTTACATGGGTGAGGATATTAATATCGATTCTAGACCTAGAATCGAAGTACCAAACCTTCCGTTTTATTTATTTTTATAATCGAACCTGCCAAATTATTACTCTTTCTAAAGGAAATTTGCCTATGTTTTATTATTATTATTTTCTATTGGTCATTTGTATAAATTGGTAAATGATTTTTATTGACAATTTGTTGTTTCTATTTTTAAATGTGGACTGTGAATGTCATTTTGTAAGATAGATTCTATCATCGGTTAAGTTGTGTTGTTTCTAGGGGTGGCGTCGAATGATTTGATCCAAGTGTTTCAAAACTGAAGCTACCCATTAGACTTTGGTATTTTTTTAGTGAAAACATTTGATTTCATGTAATTTTTGGAACCGACCTCATGTTAAAATGCCCACCCTTAGTCGATCTTGGTATTTCAAAAATGGAAAATCCCATTAAACTTCGATTGTTTTGTAAATGGAACCATTCGATTTCATGTGATTTTTGAAATTGAACGGTTAAAATATCCACCCCTAGTTTCAAACATTAGGACAGTGAAAATAGTTTCATAATTAAAGTTGAACTCAGAGTTATTTAGAAGATACTAACTCTTGATAAGATTTAATTCTCTATCAAAACAGACCGTGCCCACTAATCTAACATGTCATATAAGCGACTCCTAGTATGAAAATCTTTGAATCCACTGGATAAAGCAAAAGATCCAATGCCCATTATTTAAATTCGTGATTTCTCTTTGCACAGTTTCTCATCAACACATTATGCATTTATTAACAGAAAATGGAATGAGGACTGCAAGTGCTCAGATACGGCATTCATGACATGTATACTTGAACACTTGCAGTCTTCACTACCTTACAAATTGGACAAACGTCATTGAAACCTTCACAATCTATACACAGACACAAATGTCTACAAGGAAATAACAAGACAGACACTTCTTTACCCTTGCACCCTCGGCATTTTAGCCGGTGCTTAGTTGGAACTTCATTTCCTGAACCGCTGACAATTTCCCGATGGTTAGTGCAAGAAACTGCATCGTCTACTTCGCTCTCTCCGGAACCTTCCCGAGCTCGGGAAGTGCCTTGCGCCAGGAGTAGTTGGATATTGCTTTTCAGGATGTTGACAATTGATTCGTTGTATTTTGCTTGGTAATGCCACTTCTGAGCATCCTCGGCAACCTGCTTTATTCTGTCCCCTAACTCCTTGTTCTTGCGGTTCATGTTTTCCATTTCAAGCTCCTTCTGGTTTAATTTCCTGTTGATTTGTTTCTCTATGGCACTGAGTAAAGAACCTGTGTGCCTTCGACTTAGTTCATTTACACCCTTCCGGATGTCCTCTTCCTGTTTAACAAAACCAAGTTAGAAGTTGTAAACTGAAAAAATGTTATCCTGAAACAAATTGAACAGCGTAGATCATGCATACGCCGCAAAAATCAGGTCATGTAATGATTGTCCGGCACAGAGGATTGGATCAGTAGAGTGTAAGGAAGAAAAATAAGCTAAATTATTTTCCATTGTACTGTCCAGTCGTGTAGTACAATATGCAAAGTATATGTGCAATTATATTCATTTGGGTAAGTAGCCATTGATTTGAAACATCCAAATAAGGGACGGCTTGTGAAACCGAAGTAATATAAATTTTACTATTTTTCACTTCAAATATTTAATATGCTTTAATCAGAAACAAATTGTCAAGTAAATTAGGATGCCTCATTTGAACATGAATCACTACAGTTGTACCTGAAGTTGAATATACTGATCGAATTCTTTTGTCGATCGATCTATCTCCATTTCAACACTATTGCTGAGAGGAGCACACAAAAGGACATTTTTCATGTTTTCACTAGCAGACATAACAGAGGAAATGCGTTCTTCTTTCTCGGAAGAACATCCAATGCCAGTTGACACAAGATTAGCATTCAAAAGGGTTCCAGTATGGCCCATTTCAACCGGACAAAAATTGCTGTTTAACGATAGGTGAACTTTCGGCTGCCTACAAACAGGTTCCCCTTTCTTAACTCTTTCAATAGGGCAATTTCCGATTGGTGCTTCGTCATTACCAATACAATTTGTAGCATTGTCCCCAAACTCAATTGGAACTGCAATTCGATATCCAAGAATATGTCATGAAATTATAAAACTGAAAGGATAAGATCAAGAAAAATGATAAATTAATCTATGTAACAAGCTACTCTTAGCAAGAAAACAAAATGGGAGGTACAACTTTTGCAAATTCTGGTCAAGGTAAAAACTCCCATGGCAGGTGCAAGTGCTCCTTACTAAAATCATGTAAAAAGAGGCTTGTAATTTTTAATCACTATCCTAGGATCATAGTTCAGTGGTTGTAACAATATCTACTGACAACGTGTAGAAACTGAGCACATCAGTTAGTTTTGTACAGAGCCACTGGCAACCATGTTTGAGATGTTCTGAACAAAAAGAAAATGGCAAAGGAACAGAAAGTAGACGAGAATGATAAAAGGTGTGGAGTCATGTTCCACTCAAACTCTCTAATTAGTGGCTCACCACTTGCTACATGCTAAGAAGCATATATATACCCAAAAAGGCTACGTGCGGAAGTTGGACACTGAAACTCAAGAGAAATCCTCAGACACAGGTCCTTTAAACCTTTTTCAAAGAATAGAAACTTAAAGACAAACTTTCGGACCTGTGTCAGGCAATTCTCGATCAATTTGGATGCCATTATGACACTATCATAATACTTAAGATGGAATCCTAATAAAATTTTCACGTGATATTGCTAAAAAAAATCAGGTATTGACAAAATAATATTAGCTTAGGTGGAATAAAAAGGCACCCCAACCACTTTCCAGATACAACCACATAACTAAAATTTGTCTGTTTCCTGAAATAGTAAACTAACCCAATCTAGATCCAAGACATCCTTCTTTGATCTCACAGCATATCTAGACTCAGAGAAATTTTGCAAATATATTATTTGCCCACATTGTGCTGAAATGAGTGGGAAAAAAAATCTATGCAACTAATTTTGTTCAAGTTTCCCAAATTCCTAAGTGGTCCGAAAAATAATTGGAAGCCAAAGCCAATTAAAATAAAATGATTTATACATGCAGAGAGGAGAATATCATAAAGAGTTTAACCTAGTAACCATAGACAAGCATTAACCAACATTCACATAGAATATAAAATTCACATAAATAGTTGTTAAAATTAATCTCCCAGAAGCTGTAGACAAGGTAATGTTAGGAAAATGATGCATGACACTGACGAATTAAATCATTAAAACTAATGTACCAACTGTTCAATATATTCTAGTTGTTTAGTGTCCAAAATTGAGACAAATTTGTTCTTGGTGTGACATGAGAAATTCTGCCTCCCCACTGTTTTTACTTGACTCCCCTTTTGTGGGGGATAGGATGTCTCTATTTAAAGTTTTCAATTTTTGATGTTAGAATTTAATTCTACAATAACAATGCAAAAATTACCACTAGTCTCAACCTATATTTCTTATCACATTTGAATAGTAATCCTTTTTTTAAACATATGTATATATGTAATTAGAGGTTGAAGGAAACAATGAATTTATTGATATAAAATTTCGAAATTACAATATGAAAATTACAAGATTGAATTTGAAAATTATAATTGAAAATATTTTTAAAGAAAATTTAAAAATTAAAAGGGTAATTGAAAAAAAAAATTGAAGTGTAGTATCTCCCGCTCTAGTATCTCCCGCTCTAGTACACTTGAGGAAGTTTTTTACCTTCTTTTATAGTCGAAAACTTCGGACTTCAAAAATCTTCTAAATTAGATTGAAGAATTTTGGAGATAACTTTTGTATGTCATTTGAACAACTTTTGAAAAGCAATTACAGTTACTTTTGATAATTGCAACCAATTTTTGACTATTGCAACCAGCAATTGCAACTTCTTTTGACAATTGAACCACCACTTTTCCATTTCTCCCGACTTTTTGAATTTTACTTTAGTCATGTTACTAAAGTTTTTTGTCCATTTTTTACAATTGATAAGGAGAGCAATAATAGTTTGTTAGGTGGCATATACATTTTGAAAATGGAATCCTTTGATTTTTGAACCCTATATTCTCTTAATTTATCAAGATAATTGGATCTGTATAGTCATTTTGAATTGTTCTTTTGAGTTTTTTCTTCAATTAATTCATCAATATTTTTTAGACCAAAGCATGTGTCTTCATTGCTTTGTTTATAGTCTGATGAGTCTGCTTAAGAAGAAGTTCTTTTGAATCCTTTGAGTCTGATCTTTTTTATGAGGATTAAATCGGTACTTTTGTCAAATTCTTTTTTGGATAATTTTGGGATACTTGCATTCCTCTGTTCTTAAATTCATGAATTTACTATTTTCGAGCAATTAAATTCATGAAATTTTGACCACCACTTGATTTTTAAATTATGAGCAAATTGGAATAATAGATTTTCTTGATTCTTTAAAAAAAATTTAGCCTCTTTTTTGAAATGTTCAAACTCTTAAAGAGTAAGCCTGGGTAAAATATTCTTTTAAAGTCCAAAATATTCGAACCATTTTAGAAAATTTGAAAAACAATTTGATGAAAAGGTATAAACCAAGAATGAGTAACTGATTTAAAGTAAAATGCATTAAATCATGTTTCTTGGTAATCAAAATAATTCAAAAGAGATTCGAATGAATCATCTTTTGAGAGACGCGTTCTTTTCTCTTTCCATGGGTCATGTCCCTAGTCTTCAAATGACAGGAATGCAGGCTAAAATTAAGTAGTAGTCAAAATTTCACGAAACTAATTGCTCTCCAAAAGCAATAAATTCATATATTCAAAAATAAATGAATGCGGATATCTCAATATTAACCAAAAATGAACTTGACAAAAGTACCAATTTCCTCACAAAAAAAAATCAAGATTATTGGCTATGTTTAGTCAATGCAAAACTCCAGAAGAACTGCAAACTGTTTCAGAAAGAATTGCTGCTCTTACAGAATCTTCATCAAAATGATTAGACTCAAATGTTCAAAAGAAACTTCTTCTCAAACAGAAGAGATGATATTAGCTAACGTGCCGGTGATACAAGAATATGCTGATGTGTTTCCGAATGATCTACCGGGTATTGCGCCAGATAGGCAAGTGGAGTTCGCAATTGATCTGGTACCTGGCGCTGCGCCAGTGTCCAAAGCTCAATATCGAATGGCACCAAAGG